GGTCAAGGCATTTTAAAAATAGCTTTATTGAGATATAATTCACATACCATCATCTATTTAAAGTATATAATTCAATGGTTTTAATGTATTCACAGATTTGTGCAACCATCACCACGGTCAATTTTAGAACATATTCATCACCACAATGAGAAACCCCATATTCTTTAGTTATTGACTCTCTTTTCTACCCATCCCCCCAGCCCTAAGCAACCCCTAAGCTACTTACTGTCTCTATAGACTTTCCTCTTCTGGGTACTTCGTATAAATGAAATCACAAAACATATAGTCTTACATGACTGGCTTCTTTTGCTTAGCATAAATTTTTCGAGGTTCATTCATGTTGTAGCATGTATCAATGCATCATTTCTTTTTATGGCCAAATAATATTCCATTGTATGGATATATTATATTTTGTTTATCCAATAATGCATTGACATTGGGACATTCAGATTATTTCTACCTTTTGACTGTTGTCAATGGTGCTACTATGAACATTTGTGTATAAATTTTTGTTTGAAAACCTATTTTCAGTTTCTTTGATATATATACCTAGGAATGGAATTGCTGGGTCATTAGGTAACTCTATGTTTAACTTTTTTAGGAACTGCCAAACTGCTTTTCACTGAGGCTGCAACATTTTACATTCCCACCAATGATTTATGAAAGTAGCAATTTCTCCACATCCTCACCAACATTTGTTATTTTCTGTTTTTGGTTTTCAAAAAATATAGCCATCCTAGTGGATGTTAAGTAGTATCCCACTGTGATTTTGATTTGAATTTCCCTAATAACTAATGATGTTGATTATCTTTTCACTTGCTTTTTGATCATTTGTATATTTTTCTTTGGAAAAATGTATATTCAAATCCTTTGCCCATTTTTAACTAAGGTCATTTGTCTTTTTATTGTTGAGTTGTAAAAATTCTTTGTATATTCTGGATACCAGAACCTTATTACATATATGATTTATAAATATTTTCTCTCATTCTGTGAGGTATGTTTTCATTTTCTTTTTTTTTTTTTTTTTTTTGAGACAGAGTCTCACTCTCTTGCCTGGGG